TAACCTTTCAGCTACTAGAAGTCTAGTGACAGTCTGACTCAAGAGGCTGGAAGCCTGGGGTGGTGAGGGGTAGGCAGTGATGTGTGAGTATTTTCATAATTGATACGGATGCTCTATAAGTACCCGACAGCTGAATATCAGCCTGCAAATTACTCCTATTCATTGTTACCCGCGTTCAGTGTTCACTGACTCTAAATACATTTTGGATTCAACTACCAAAGAATCTTAGGATTTGTAAGTATTGGCATGAATTCACTTCGAGCAGACAAATGCAAGCTGGTTGGAGTGGTGCAAGCCTACAGGACCAGCACACAGGCGGCTGAGGCAGGAGGATCCTAAGTTCCCAGCCAGCCTGGGCTAAAATCAAGTTCAAGGCTGGCCTGGGCAACATGGTGAGATCCTATTTAAGGAAAAAAAGACAAGCTCAATTTTTTTTTTTTAATTTTATTTATTTGTGTGTGTGTGTGTGTGTGTGTGTGTGTGGCCAGCTCAGCCCACCAGGGTGAGGGGCGGGCTGGCTGGCTGGCATGTGGTGCTGGGGGATTGAACCGCGGTCCCTGTGCTTTGCTAAGCTTGTTCTAAGTAGGTGTGTTAGACCACGGAGCCATCTCACCAGCCCCATCAATTCTTTTTAAAAGAGACGTTACTGGATTAATGGAACAGGAAATTAAAGAACAGTCTCTTAGAAATTTTGGTGGACAATATAAAAACTATAGAGATAACGATATTCATATAAACTGATGTCATACCAAGGAGGTTTCCTGGGGTTGAGGATGGCTGACACTGTCCTTGTCAAAACACGTGTCGGTGGAGAAGACAGAAGAAGGAGCTGCAGTGGACTCTACGACTGGCCTGGGCTCCCTGTTGGCAGGAGGACCCTTTCTCCTGGTAGATTCTCTATGGTGTGCTTTTCATGAGATCAGTGGGGTCTTCTTGCACTAGAATCTCTGCATGACGCAGGCCTGGCCAGAGCACCAGTTATCTTGTGCTTGGGTTCTGGGTGGGTGGTGGCCACAGTGGGGCAGTTTGGCCCTTGACAGGAGTTTTGTGTGGGGAAGGAGGTTTTCCCTCTGGGGTTGGGAGCTGGTAAGAGGTGAGTCTACTGCATCTGCCATGTTTAGCTCCCTCAGTAACCCAGTCGGCAAAATCCAAGATGGTGCACTGGAGCCGCTGGGACTTGGGCCTGGTCACCCAGTGAATGTGAAACTGTCTCTTCCTCTTTTGAAATTTCAGAGTGTCCGTGTTTACATGAAAGAAAGCACAATGAACCCCAGGATTGCCCACTGCACAGTGAGAGCAGCGTGCGGAAGTAGCGTGAGGGCAGTTACCATAACCGAGCTGACATGGTATCCAGTGGCTATAGAATTAGGAAAAACATTAGGAAAAAAATGAACTGTAAAACATTTCTCCATTTTCATTCTCTATGTTCTGCTTACTTTTGCTAGTTTAATTTTTAAAGAAGAAAGTTAAATAATAAGGATAAACCAGTAAGAATTTGAAAAAGAAGTCTAGTTGTAGGGGAAAGGCTTTTCTTTAGATTTCAAGGAAAATTATTTAGCAATAAAAATAACGTAGATTTCTTAAGCTACTTTTCTCTCGTTGCCGAGACAAAAATACCTGACACCCAAAGTAAAAGGGGGAAAGGGTTATTTAGCTCACAGTCTGTGTAGGTTTCAGCCCATAACTGGCTGGCTCCTGGGCAGGATGGTGTGGCAGAGGGGTCTGCAGAGCAGAAGCAGTTCATGGTGGCAGAAGACAGCATAAGTGACCAGAGGCCTCCACAGCGCCTTTCTGTCTCTTTTATCTGATCCAGGCTACTCGGGGCAGGCAGCACTCACGCCCTTAATCTAGTGTCCTTGAGCCTGACACAGCACCACGAATCACTGAGTCACACACTCTAGATCCAGCCACCTCTGAAAAAACTACACCTATGACCGCATGAGGCTTTGGGGACATCTAGACACAAGCTGTAGCACCAGACACATTTAAAGGGCTGATTTTTTTCTAAGTTGTCTTTGATACTTAGATTATTCATACTTCAAATATTAGTCCATGTAATTTTCT